ATTCCCCAGCCAGCCATGCTGGCTGGGGAATTCTGGGAATTGAAGTCCGCCTATCTTAAAGTCACCCAGGTTGAGAAGCACTGTCTTAAAGGCTGCAGGTGAGTGAAAAAGGGGAGGGCTGACTGGACCTCAGAGGATCTAAAATGGGAGGGAAGTGGAATACCCCAAGGGCCAGGAGGCAGACCCTTGGCCGAAGCATGCTAGCTTGGGGATGATGGGAGCGGGAGTACCTTAGCCGCATACGTCTTCTCAAGCTCCTCCTTGTACAGCTTGACCTGGGCTTCGTGCTGGCCGCGCAGGTCCTGCAGAGCATCTGCCAACTTGCTCTCGAACTCCCGCTGGCGGCCGTTGTCGATCTCCACCAAGCGGGTCTCGTGGCGGCGCTTGGTCTCGCGGAGCTCCTGCGGGAAGCAGGGCAGGGCTGAGCTGGGGCTCCGAGGACTGCCGGGAGGGCCGACCCCGACCGCGAACCACCCCCCCGGCACTCCCGGGGCAACACTGCTGGGGCAGGCGTTGGGCTGACGGCCTGCAGTCAAGTCTTCCAGCCCGTGCAGATGTGTTCTCCGTGGTGCCCAGGAGCGCGGTGAGAGCCGGGGGGGGAGGCTTTGCAGAGGGAGACCCAAACTCCAAATACGGAGGAATTCTTGGTGGCAAGAGCTACGAAGCAGCCGAGTCGCTTTCGAGCCAAGGCTGCGCAGCCAGGATTCCTGCCCTCGGTGAGGCTGGACGGGAAGACCTTCGGGGTCCCTTCCCACCGGAAGCATCCAGGGTTCCAGAACTCACCTCACTGTAGATGTTCTTCTGGAAGTCAAGCTCCTCCTTCAGGGTCTGCAGCCGGTTCTCCGCATCCACCCGCCGCAGCATTTCGTCCTGAAGCTGCTTCTTGACCTCGGCCAAGGCAACTTCCAACTGGAGCGGGACAGAAAGAGGGACAGCAAGGGTCACCCTTCCCACCATGCCCAATTTGCCCGCACCCCACCAGCTCCTCCTGGCACCCAGGAAGCGCCTGCGCGCGCATGGTGTCTCTCTCTTTCTGGTGTGACGTGCAGCATCTCGCATCGGCTTGCCCCAAAGACGCCCGGTGCGCCTCCGGACCGGACGCCCCTGCTCACTGGACGCCCTGCCTGGGTGAGTGCTGGACTCGAGCGCCCCCTGCTGGGCCCATGGGGCTCCTGCAGAGGTGTGATTTTCCAGTCACCGCCCAGTTTGGGGGAGGGAGGGGGGCAGACCGGCAATAAAACTAAGCTGGCCCTAAAATTAGGATAGCGGTAGCGGGCACCACAGACAGGGAGGCAGCCCCGTTATTCTTCGGGCAGGACCGACGCAGAGATGCGCCTCTGCCGAAGCGGGAGAAGCAGGTCGGGGAAACCTCCTTGCCTCCCACAGTGACAGAGCTTGGCGTCCCAAAGGATTAAGGGCCGAATTCGCAATAGAGATGGCACCTCTGTGGCCAGGAGTCGTCTGCCTCTGAAGTGCCACGGCTGGGCACAGTCAACAGCTGCTGGCAGCCCTGTAGACCATGCGGCTGCCTCGGCCTCTTCACCGTACGGTACGTATTAAATTAGCAATTGCAAGAGTCATAAAAAGATAAAGCGCAGCCAAAGAAAAGCCACCGTGGCCAGAGGGAAAAAGAAGAAAGCCGGGACCAAAAGCCCCCTCAAGCACAAGCCTGCCTCAGCTTGGAAGTAGCGTAGCCCAGCCCTGCCGCTTCCAGGCTCTCGGCTGCCAATCTCCAGGAACAGGAGCTGGCATGCGAGTGGCTGCTGGGGGTGTGAACGGCCGGTGGCCTCCCATCGGAGGGACCCTCCCCTCCTGCAGAAGAGAGGGGCTCTGGCCCCCCGGGCACTGACGTCCACCTGAGCGCTGCAAAGCCATTCCTCCTCCGAGGTGCTGGAGGAAATGTTGGGGCCCGTAGTCCGGAGGCAGACCAGGGAGGGAGGCGCAGAAGGCAAAACGGCCACCCTCCCGCCTCAAGGGACCCCAAGGGCGGAGCAGAGCAGGGAGCCCGTAGGGGGCCTTCCCAGGCGGGCCAGGACCGGGGCGCACCCGGGCTACCTTGGCCAGCTGGCCTCTAAGGTCGCGGACTTCATTCTCCAGGTTGCGCTTCTCTCCCAGGGCGGTGGTGAGGGCGGCCTCCTTGGAGTTCAGCAGGGCCTCCACATCCTTCAGGCGGGACTGCGCGGCCAGCAGGTCTCCTTCCTTCTTGGCGTTCCTGGAAGGGGGAAGATGCAGCCGTTGGTCAGGAGGAAGGACCATGCTCCCCAGCGGCCCAGCGCTCCCTGGGCCCCACCAGCAGGAGCAGCTGCCCCGGGTCAGCAGGTTCAGCAGAAGATGGGAGGTCTCTGGGACAGCTTGGCAACAGCCCATAAGACGCCCAAGGAGCCTGTTGGCAGCACCAGACTTTGGAGCACTTCCCTCCCGGAACATGAGCCAGATTCGAACCCAGGCCCAGGGATAAAGAGAATGACTCTATCCATGCATCTCACCAAATGATGGCTTGTTCAGCTCTGATGAGTAAACCACAATTGATCCAGTTCACCCAACAGGCTCACGTGCAAATAGAGTCATTCCCTCTGGGAATCTGGAGCTCACGCCAGGCTGCCCTGGGCATTGCCCAGGCTCTTGCGGGCGCCACATGGAGCAACGAATGCAACCCCCAGGCATAACGAAGTCCAGGCTTGCAGGAGCAGTAACTTTAAATTGCTTTGAACCAAGCGCGCGAAGCGTTCAGCCACCCATCGAGAGGGACCGGCTTTAATCTGGGGGGCTGGGTCCTGTGGGTCCTGTGGGCTCCCTCACCAGAAAGCGATCGAAGGCAAACTCAGCACGGGCAGCCTCTGCTTAGTTCCTAACGACCAACCAAATTTTGTCCGGAGAAAGACATTCAAGTAATGTGCAGAGCCAGTTAAGATGCTGAAGGGAAATTAGATTCGCTAACCATTCCAAAATGCTGAGTTGACTTGGAGAGACTACTTTAAAACAGTGCTTCTCAACCTTGGCCACTTTAAGACGGGTGGACTTCAACTCCCAGAATTCCCCAGCCAGCATGGCTGGCTGGGGAATTCTGGGAATTGAAGTCCACCCGTCTTAAAGTGGCCAAGGTTGAGAAGCACTGCGTCAGAAAGGTTTACCAAGAGCAGCAGTTAAAGGCGGGCACCAAGGGACCAGCATTTCAGGCTGAAGGTCGAAAGACAAACGCTTCCTGCGAAGTGAGAGGCCAGGGCCACAACGGCCTGCAGGAAGACTGAGTCACAGAGGGACAATTAATACCCCACCCTCAGCTGCCACCTTCCTGGGCCAAGCACTGTCCCTCTGCCAGCCCCCCTTAGCAGTTGGTGGCGATAATCAACTCAGAAACCATGCAAAAGGATGCAGGAGCAGGAGGCCTTTGCAGCAGGGACTCACGCCCTCACCGCCCCCCCCGGTTAGATTACTGCAGTGCACTTGACGTGGGGCTGCCCTTGAAGATCTCAGAAGCGGCAGTCCTTTTCTGCTCCTTTTTCTTTTTTACTGCATTGTTTTTAAACCAGTTTACAGGGTTTGGAATGGGCGCTGCTCAGAGTCATCCGCACCGGAGGGGCCTATCAGACCAATAAAATAGCTAAAATGAATAAGCAGGTCCAAAACGCAGTGGCCTGTTGGCAGGAGAAGCCAGGCTCAGTAGCAGGACTGCGACGTGGAGGCCATTCAAGGGGCTGGTTTCAATTTCTAAAGCTCAGCACGGCTTGGCACCATGCGCTTGCCAGGCTCTCTCTCCTAGCCAGAATTGGCCCGCCATCTGCGTTCACCCCGAGAGGGGCTGCGCTGGGCCCCCACCCCACGGGGGGCTGAGGGGGCAGAGGCCCAGAGGAGCACCTTCTCCGAAGCAACTCCGCGTCATGGAACACCTCAACTCCTGAGTTAAGGGGAGCCCCCGCAGCGAACACCATCCGGTGCCAAGAGGCTTCGGGGGCAGATGGCAGGCCTGGGTTGCCCTTCCCCAAATAGTGAGTACAGTCCACGACCCCCCTTAAGCTTCCACAGCAGAACGAGACAGATGCTTCATCTTCCTGCCTCCAGGCGTGGGGGGCTTACATGACTCCCACCCCCCCACCTCTTTCTCTATTTTTACACAGTGCGTATCCCGTGGGGCATTTTTTAGCTACACTGACCACCAGGAGGCACCACGCTGCACTGGTGGCATTTGTAATGTCATCAAGCATATTCAATGTTTTATTTTCATCATGTAAACTGCCCGGAGTTGTCAGAAGTGAAGCGGCATAGAGACGTAGCGATGAATCAGTGAAGACCAGTGAGCGCAACCCTCCAGAAGGCTAAACTCAGCCCCAGGTGCCCGGATGAGGATAGCGCTCGGCAGTGACGCACACAGAAAGAGCGTGAAACCGGAGGCGGGTTTTCTGGCTGGGCTGGCTTGTAAAAAGGACAGTTGCCCTGTTTGACGGAGGCCACATCACGAAGGGAATTGCTTTCCCCTCTCGGTGGTGTGGAGGGCGGGGTCCGGGGGGGTGTCAAGCTGTTCG